GCGAGCGGGACAAGATGCCTTAACGAGCCGATTAGTTAGGAGTCATCTTTATTGCATGCAGGTTCAGAGCAGATTACCTCTGTCAAATTCTGAACAAACACAGGAAGGAGTATTTCCTTTTTATATCCTTCTAGCTTTTTGTATACGTTATTCTATACAGGCACCTGTAACCTTGAGTATCATATCATATCTATACAGGCACCTGGCATCAATATTAGCGTATCGTTTAGATGGCTAGCTTGCAAGGTCAGACAATTAAGATTATCTTTTCTATTATTGAAGCTAAAAAACAAAGTTATATTGTATAGAATAAGAGACTATCTAAAAATAACAGAGTAGTTCAAACAGCAGTTTTCAACAGCAGTTTTCCAAAGGAGGGATTACTACGCTTCACTCCCTTCATGTAGAAGTGACCCAGCTGGTTTGTGGCATGGGAAAAGCCCCGAAGGCCACCACCAGGGCTATACAGGGGATAAATCAAGAACCGAGTCAGGCCAGGGAGGCAGTTCTAGAGAACTGGGCACAGCAATAGGTTATTTGCTCTTGCGGCATAACCACGGTTGTGAGGAATTTAAAGGAATAATTCTCAATTGATAGAAAACAACATTTAACAAATTAGGGAAACCATCTCCAAGGTAAAACATCGAGAACGGTGTTTTGGCTTTAACTTCCTGGCTACCCAGTCTGTCTGGGTCAGCGGGAATTCTTTTTAATTTTTCTCCTGTTTCATTGTTTTGTAGTCTAATTGCTTGCTGCTGTATTCAGTATCTTCCACTTTTTAAATCCTGCATTGCCTGTGTTCCATTCCCATAAATTGCTTTTTTAAAAATATATATATTTTACTGATTTTACAGAGAAGAAGGAAGAGGGATAGAGTTAGAAACATCGATCAGCTGCCTCCTGCACACCCCCTATTGGGGATGTGCCTGCAACCAAGGTACATGCCCTTGACCGGAATCGCGCCTGGGACCCTTCAGTTTTCAGGCCGACGTTCTATCCACTGAGCCAAACAGGTCAGAGCCCCACAAATTGCTTTTAAGGCAGAAGCAAACGTAGTCCTGCTGGGTGTGATTTTTTCATCTAAAACTATTGTCGCCCTGAGTCGGCCTGCAGACTGAAGGGTCCGGGGTTGGATTCCAGTCAAGGGCATGTACCTTGGTTGCAGGCACAGCCCCAGTAGGGGGTGTGCAGGAGGCAGCTGATGGATGTTTCTAACTCTCTATTCCTCTCCCTTCTTCTCTGTAAAAAATCAATTAAAAAAATTTAAAAAATAAAATAAAACTATTGTCATAGATATGAGGTGACAGAATTAGCAGCGGGGAAATGAAGGGGGCAGAAATAGACTATTGAGGACTAGATATCAGTTATAAGAAATACTAATAAGAAATATTAAGCATGCTCCGTTAACCATGATTGTTTTGTTCTCGTTAAACAAAGCTCAGTCTAGCATGGCTGGGAGTTGTACCAGGGCCCTGGGAGCTCCCCAGGAAATGCAGCCCAAACGCCTTAGCAAGGAGCTGCTTATCATGGAAAGATA